GGACTCTGTGCAGGCCAGTCAAGTTCCTCCACCCCAAACTGGCTCCTCCATGTCTTTATGGACCTTTCTTTGTGTACTGGTGCTCAGTCATGTTGGAACAGGAAGGGGCCATCCCCAAACTCTTCCCACAAAGTTGGGTGCATGAAATTGTCCAAAATGTCTTGGTATGTTGACGCCTTAAGAGTTCCCTACAATGGAACTAGGGGGCCAAGTACAACCCCTGAAAAATAACCCCACACCATAATCCCCCCTCCACCAAACTTTATACTTGGCACAATGCAGTCAGGCAAGTACTGTTCTCCTGGAAACAGCCAAACCCAGACACATCCATTGGATTGCCAGACAGAGAAGCATGATTAGTCACTTCACAGAACACGTCTCCTCTGCTGTAGAGTCCAGTGGCCGCATGCTTTACAACACGGAATTCAACGCTTTGCATTGCACTTGGTGATGGAAGGCTTGGATGCAGCTGCTCGGCCATGGAAACCCATTCCATGAAGCTCTCTACGCACTGTTGTTGTGTTAATTGACTCACAGACAGTTGGCAACTTCTGCGCACTGCATGCGCTGACCCTGCTCTGTCATGTGACGTGGCCTACCACATGGCGGCTGAGTTGCTGTTGTTCCCAGTTGCTTCCACTTTGTTATAATCCCACTAACAGTGGAGCGTGGAATATTTAGTAGCCAGGAAATGTCACGGATGGACTTATTGCACAGGTGACAACCTATCACGGGACCACGCTTGGAGTCACTGAGCTCCTGAGAGTGACCCATTCTTTCACAAATGTTTGTAGAAGCAGTCTGCATGCCTAGGGGATGACTGTATACACCTGTGGCCATGGAGGGGATTGGAACACCTGAATCACATTATTTGGAGGGCGGGCCCAATATTTTTGGCATTATAGTGTACTTTTAATAGGATGTACAATAAATACTACCGTTTTTCACAGGATATATTAGTCACTATATTTTGAGTACCATGCAAAGTCCCTTTACAGTGAACAGTTGTCCTGGATGGACAACGCGACGTTCTCCTTTAACAGCTCTGTGTATATTTCCTACAGGGGCACCAAGTCATGGAAATGTAGAAGATGGATGTCTTGGTCCTGTGTATTTTTCGGGTTCTGAAGACGAAGACCATTGGATCCCACCGGATGATCAAGTAGGTGCTTTGCCTGGACGTGAGCTTACTTGCTAAAAAAAAAAAAACGAATTAAAAATTTTTGGTTTTCTTCCAGGTTTGGGGCATGCATGCACGCAACATGAGTTTGGCACCAGATTTCAGCCAATGATTTTCAGCTAAAACTTGCTGATCGGCTATGTCCAATCACACATAGAGTTCTGTGCTTACAAACACACAGAACTCTGTACATAGGAACAGCAATCTGGCTGTTTCTTCTCCCTGAAAAACAGGGAGAAAACACAGCCAGATTAAATTGGAGTTCCAGCTGGAAAAAAAAAAGTCAGCAGCTACAAAAACTGTAGCTGCTGACTTTTAAAATACAGCCACTTACCTGTCCCTCGGTCCAGCAGTGTCTTCACCATCGCTGGTTTCACCGGCTGTCTTCTCTCCCTGGCGCCGGCATCTTTAGTGTGGGCACTCGGCTGTCACAGCTTGCGGCTTCACAGCCAGGTGCCCAGTGCGCATGCGTGAGAAGCGCTGCGCTTTGTGAATGGCCCTGTAGTCTTCTGGGGCCTGTCATGTGGGAGGGAGGGGAGGAGGACAACTTCCGCTTCCGATCGCCTAGGTCAGTGGTGGGCAACCTTTTTTTTCAACTGAGCCAAATCTCGCCAAAACCACGATTGAAATTTATTTTGAGAGCCACATTTTTAAAACTGAAAATACATCCCCCATATAGTAATTCATCCCCCATAGTAATTCATCCCCCCTATAGTAATTCATCCCCCATATAGTAATACATCCCCCATAGTAATACATCCCCCATATAGTAATTCATCCCCCATATAGTAATTCATCCCCCATATAGTAATTCATCCCCCATATAGTAATTCATGCCCCATATAGTAATTCATCCCCCATATAGTAATTCATCCCACATAGTAATTAATCCCCCATATAGTAATTCATCCCCCATATAGTAATTCATCCCCCATAGTAATTCATCCCCCATATAGTAATTCATCCCCCATATAGTAATTCATCCCCCATATAGTAATTCAGCCCCCATATAGTAATTCATCCCCCATATAGTAATTCATCCCCCATATAGTAATTCATCCCCCATAGTAATTCATCCCTCCCATAGTAATTCATCCCCCATATAGTAATTCATCCCCCATATAGTAATTCATCCCCCATATAGTAATTCATCCCTCCTATAGTAATTCATCCCCCATAGTAATTCATCCCCCATAGTAATTCACCCCCCCTATAGTAATTCACCCCCCCCCCTAATAAAGGCTGTAAAAACAATCAGTTCTCCTTCTCTCTGGCTGCATTCCTGCAGCCATTGAGAAATACTGTGAGAGCTGTGATTAGTCACAGCTTGTCACATGGTACAAGGCTGTTGTGAATGGCCCTGTACCATGTGATCTCTGTGGTCATTCACAGATTTCACACATAGTAAGCAATCATGTCAGAAGTGACATCTTGTTTACTACTATTGATGTGATCACTGATTTGCCAATCAGTGATCACATGATCGGGACCTCACACAGAGGTCCCATACAGCGATCGGTGTTCAAATCAATCTATTTCGTCATTGAGGACTGCTGTCCATTTCTCATTCATTGTGATCAATGATAATTTAGCTTTGACCTTTTTGACTTTTTGCTTTCTGCACAAACTAAACCTTCATCTCAAGCTTTTGTGTCATTTTGTGTTCCTCAGGATGACAGTATGATTAAAGTTGAAGTTAAGGAGGAAGCAGAAGAGCCGTATTTGATAGACGATGAGCTGTTCAAGGAGGATGGAATCCCTCCAGAGATCAGTACAGGTGAGTAATAAACATCAAATCCAGAGTTAGTTTTTTTTTTTTTTTTTTTTTTTTAAAAACAAAGTATTACTAAACCCACAACAGTACAATCAGTCTGTATATGCAGTAAAGCATGCTTGTTATACTCACTGTGGAACCTAAGGGGTTAATCCTCTGCATTGTGTAAAAAGTCTGTTTGATCCTGTCTTCTCTGCCCCTCCTCTTGTTCAAATGTCCACGTCTTATCTCCTGATAAGACATGCTGAACCCGTAGCCACGTGCACATGCTCAGTTTGGTGTGTATTGCTAGAGTGGTTTGTTTGTTTTTTTCTTGGGAAGGTGCATGTGATGAGCACAGGGCCAATCAGCGCTGTCCAGAGAGAGGGTCAGGGGTTTTACATCCTCCTAGAGCAGAAAGAAATTTCCTCCTACAAGCTTTAACCAGTGCTCTGCTGGACACTGATAGAAGTCTCAAGACTGCTATATACTACTGCTGATGAGAAAAGGGATTTAACAGTTTATATTTACTAAAATATTTGCAGTTCCATGTTCTGTGTACTGTGGGAGACTGGATATAGTGAATGCAGGGTCCGGGGTGAGCGGATATAGTGAATGCAGGGTCTGGGGAGAGCGGATATAGTGAATGCAGGGTCCGGGGAGAGCTGATATAGTGAATGCGGGGTCCTGGGAGAGCGGTTATAGTGAATTCGGGGTCCGGGGAGAGCGGTTATAGTGAATTCGGGGTCCGGGGAGAGCGGATATAGTGAATTCGGGGTCCAGGGAGAGAGGATATAGTGAATGCAGGGTCCAGGGATGCAGGGAGCGGATATAGTGAATGCAGGGTCCGGGGAGAGCGGATATAGTGAATGCGGGGTCCGGGGAGAGCGGATATAGTGAATGCGAGGTCCGGGGAGAGTATATATAGTGAATGCAGGGTCCGGAGAGAGTGGATATAGTGAATGCAGGGTCCGGAGAGAGCGGATATAGTGAATGCAGGGTCCGGAGAGAGCGGATATAGTGAATGCAGGGTCCATTGAGGTGGCTACGGATGTCAATCACTGGGTCCCAGCCGGAGATTCCCCGTCGGCACCCAGCGATCATTGGGGAAAGCTGACAGGGGAGAGACCTGTGTGTAAACAACACAGATCTCTCTCCTGCCAGAAAGGACATGCTGCTTTGTATCTCTCTGCACAGCATATCTGCCTAGTAAAACACACACAGCACACAGTTGACCCTTTGATCATCCTAGGTTTTATCCCCTTCCTGCCCACTGACAGCGCAGTGACAGTGCTTTTTATTAGCACTGATCACTGTATTAGTGTCACTGGGTGTCAGTGACAGTTCGCACTTCAGTTAGTGTCAGATTGCCCGCCGCGCTATCACAGTCCTGCTATAAGTCACTGATCACCGCCATTACTAGTATTATAAAAAAAAAAAAATATCCAGTATATATACCATTGTAGACACTAAAATTTCCATGCAAACCAAGCTCTATTTGTCTGAAAAAAAAATTATATAAATTTCATTTGTGTTGCATGCAACTCTCAGTTAAAGTAGCGCATATAGCAAAAGGCTTGGTCATGAAGGGGGGGTGGGGTAAACCTTTCGGAGGGCAAGTGGTTAATATATTGCTATATTTTTCTTACAGCAGATAGTGGGGATGGAGCCTTTTCTTGTTCGGAGTGCGGAGAATGTTTTTTACAGAGAGCCAAACTCATCTCCCACCAGAGGAATCATGATGGCAAGAAGCCATATTCATGCTTTGAATGCGGGAAACTGTTTTCTCAGAAGCAGCAGCTGACTAGACACCAGAAATCTCACTCCACCAAGCAGTCATTTATATGTTCGGAATGTGGAAAATCTTTCACTGAAAAATGGATACTGACCCAGCATCAGAGCGTTCACACAGGGGTGAAGCCGTACTCGTGTTTGGAGTGCGGGAAATGTTTTTCTTTTAGTTCGTCTCTTATTAAGCATAAGAGAGTTCACACAGGGGAGAAGCCATTTTCGTGTCTTGAGTGTGGGAGGAGCTTTTCCCACAAACAGCATCTTGTTGGACATCAGATGACCCACACGGGGGAGAAGCCGTATTCATGTTCCGAGTGCGGGAAGTGTTTCTCCAATAAGCAAAACCTTATGGGACATCAGATGACTCACACAGGGGAGAGGCCGTTCTCTTGTTCAGTGTGCGGGAAACGTTTTTCCCATAAGTCTGCTCTTACCACTCACGAAAAAGTTCACACGGGGGCCAAGCCGTATTCCTGCTCCGAATGCGGCAAATGCTTCTCTTTTAATTCCTCACTCTTTAAGCACAAGAAAACTCACACGGGGGAGAAGCCGTTTTCCTGTGCAGAGTGCGGCAGACAGTTTTCCCACAGGCCAAACCTGATTGCGCATCAGATGACTCACGCGGCCGAAAAGCCATACTCCTGCTTGGAATGCGGGAAGCGGTTTTCCCATAAATCAACACTCAGCAGCCATGAGAATGTTCACAAGGGGGTGAAGCATTATTCGTGTTCGGAGTGCGGGAGGTGTTTTTCACACAAGTCATCCCTCGATGCACATGAAAAGGTCCACACGGGTGAGAAGCCATATTCATGCACGGATTGTGATAAAAGTTTTTCCCTGAAATCATCTTTTTTGACACATAAGAAAGTTCACACAGGGGAGAAGCCGTATTCATGCGCAGAATGCGGGAAATGTTTTTCCATTAAATCAAATCTGATCAGACATCAGAAAGTCCACACAGGCGAGAAGACATATGTATGTTCGGAGTGTGGGAAAGGGTTCGCAAAGAAATCGTCCTTTTACACCCACCTTGGTTCCCATAAGAGACAAGAGCTTCCTACATCAGAAGATAGAAGCTGAGTTATGAGAGACACACTTGTATGTAAAGTGGAGAAAAAAGGTCAAGACAAGAAAAAAAAAAATAAAGTTTTTTTAATTGAATTTTAATGGGTTTTTTTTTTTTTTTTTTTCAAATGAATATTCAACTTTTAAAAGAAATGTTGTGGCTCAAAAAGAAGGAATGCACCGATATCGTTGGCGATACTGAGTATTTTCGAATACTCATACTTGGGAAAATGCTTCCGATACCGGAAACCGGTACTTTACAGTATGATTTGCATCAATACAAATTGCACCGCAAAGATTACCATGAACTTGAACAGGAATGGGATCCCATGCTGAACGGAGAGTGGGCGTGCGGGGATATATACTAGGGAGGCAGATGCTCCATATTCTCAGCGGTAGGAATTTGAAATCCCTGCCATTTTTCTCTTCTCTCCTTGAAGGAATGTCAGTTCGGGCTAGAGGGTTTTTGATTGGTCAGCACCGTCACATGGTCGCTGCTGACCAATCAAATGCCATCTAGCCTGTACTGTCATGTGACGGTGCTGACCAGCCAAAAGCCTTCTAGCCTGAACTGCCAACTCTGCAAGGAAAGGAGAGAAAGCCACTTCACAGGTCTGAGGATTTGAAATCACTGCTGTTTTTCTCTCCTCGAAGGAATGACAGTTCGGCTAGAGGGCTTTTGATTGGTCAGCACCGTCACATGGTCGGTGCTGACCAATCAGATTCCATCTAGCCTGTACTGTCATCGCTGCAAGGATAGGAGGGAAAGCCGCAGGGATTTCAAAACCCCAGACCTGTGAAGCGGCTTTCTCTCCTTTCCTTGCAGGGATGACAGTATGGACTAGACGGTATCTGATTGGTCAGCACTGTCCATGTGACGGTGCTGACCAGTCAAAAGCCCTCTAGCCTGTACTGTCATTGCTGCAAGGAAAGGAGAGAGCCTCAGGGACGGTTGCAGACTATCCAAAAGCCTTCTAGCCCGAACTGCCATCCCTGCAAAGAAAGGAGAGAAAGCCGTTTCACGGGTCTGAGGATTTGAAATCCCAGCGGCTTTCTTTCCTCTCCTTGCAGGGATGACAGTTCGGGCTAGAGGGCTTTTGATTGGTCAACACCATCACATGGACGGTACTGACCAGATGCAGTCTAGTTCATACTGTCATCCCTGCAAGGAAAGGAGAGAAATTGGCAGGGATTTCAAATCCTCAGACCTGTGAAGCGGTTTTCCTTGCAGGGGTGAGTGTGGGCTAGACGGCATCTGATTGGTCAGCACTGTCCATGTGACAGTACTGACCAATCAGAAGCCCTGTAGCCTGAACTGTCATCCCTGCAAGGAGAGGAGAGAAAACAGCAGGGATTTGAAATCTGCTGAGAATATGGAGCATCTACTTCCATGGTATACATCCCCACACGCCCACTCTCCACTGCGGAAAACCTCCCTGCACCGCTCCTGTGTGAACTATGACAGCCTGGGTTCACACAGGAGCAGTGGGGGGAAACTGCATTCAATTTGGACAGGAATAGCATTCCTGTTCAAATCGCATGCTATACTTCGGGGTGCAATTTGCATCCATACAAAATATCGGCGAAAGTATTGGCGCTCGTTCTCTCCGATTTAAAAAAAAAAAAAAAAAAAGGGGTATCAGTGCCTTCCTATCAAAAACTATAGTCATCAGACCCAGGCAGGTCACAACATCTTTAGAAGAAAGCTAGCTATGGCCGCCCCATGTTTGTCCCATGACAAGGTTGTAAAAGTGTGGTGATGGGCGGCAGGGGGAGGGGAAGAAGTCTGCTCTATGGGCTAGCATACTCGATCGAACTACAAATCTAACACAAGGCCTCGGTCTATTCTCAGAGAGTTCCCATCAGGTGGGTCTCAGCAAATTGTATCCATGCTTGCCAAGTTGGGGAAGTTTTGTCCAGAGGTCATCCAAAAGTTAACCACCGTCCTCTATTCCAGGGGTCTCCAAACTTTCTAAACAAAGCGCCAGTTTACTGTCCTTCAGTCTTTAGGGGGCCCAAACTATGGCCAACGGAAATACAAAATGTCCCAGCATCATTGGGAGTAAACAATCCCTTATTGTGTGACAGTGGGGAGGTACTGTACCCCTTCATTGGTGTCATTGGGAGGTACTGTGCCCCTTCATTGGTGTCATTGGGAGGTACTGTGCCCCTTCATTGGTGTCATTGGGAGGTACTGTGCCCCTTCATTGGTGTCATTGGGAGGGTACTGTGCCCCTTCATTGGTGTCATTGGGAGGTATTGTGCCCCTTCATTGGGAGGTATTGTGCCCCTTCATTGGGAGGTATTGTGCCCCTTCTTTGATGTCATTAGGAGGTATTGTGCCCCTTCATTGCTGTCTTTGGGAGGTATTGTGCCCCTTCATTGCTGTCTTTGGGAGGTATTGTGCCCCCTCATTGGTGTCATGGGGAGGTATTGTGACCTGTCATTGGGAGGTATTGTGCACCTTCATTGCTGTCATTGGGAGGTATTGTGCCCCTTCATTACTGCAATTGGGCCCCATTGTTGGTGTCATTGGGGGAGTTATGCCCCATTATTTATCTCATTGGTAGGAATTTGCCCATCATTGGTGTCATTAGGAGGAATTATGCCTTTCATTGGGGGTCAGTTAATTAACCACTTGCCTACCAGGCACTTATACCCCCTTATTTACCAGGCCAATTTTCAGCTTTCAGCGCTGCCACACTCTGATTGACAATTGCGCGGTCATGCAACATTGTACCCATATGAAATTTTGATCATTTTTTTCTCACAAATAGAGCTTGGTGGTATTTAATCGCCGCTGGGCGCTTTACTTTTTGCGCTATAAATAAAAAAAAGTGCAAAAAATTTGAAAAAAAAAAAAATTCTTTGTTTCTATTATAAATTTTTTCAAACAGGTATTTTTTCTCCTTCACTGATGTGCGTTGATGAGGCAGCACTGATGGGCACTGATAGGCGGCACTGATGGGCACTGATAGGCAGCACTAATGAGCTGGCACGGATAGGCGGCACTGATAGACAGCACTAATGAGGTGTCACAGATAGGCGGCACTAATATGCAGCACTGATAGGCGGCACTGATAGGTGACACTGATGATGGTCACTGACTGGCAGCACTGGTGGGTGGCACTGGTGGGCAGCACTGGTGGGTGGGCACAGGTGGGTGGCACTGGTGGACACAGGTGGGTGGCACTGGTGGACACAGGTGGGTGGGCACAGGTGGGTGGCACTGCTGGGCACAGGTAGGTGGCACTTCTGGGCACAGGTGTGTGACACTGCAGAGTGGCACAGGTGGGTGAACTGCTGGGCACAGGTGGGTGAACTGCTGGGCACAGGTGGGTGATCTGCTGGGCACAGGTGGGCGGAGCTAGTGGGCGCACTGCTGCTGGGCACAGGTGGGCGAAACTTGCGGGTGGCACTGCTGGGCACCGATCATCAGGGCACTGATGATCAGTGCCCTGATGATCGGTGCTAATCCCCGCTCTGACAACTGCCGGTTCTCGGCAGTACTTTCCTCACGATCTGACAGCGTGAGGAAAGTGCAGCTGAGTACCGGAACTTGCATTTCCCTCTGATCAGCGTGTCATTGGACACCGCTGATCACGTGGTAAAAGGCCGCTGTAATTGGCCTTTTACCACATCACGTGTTCAGCTGTGTCCGTAGGACACAGCGATCACGGAGATCGCCGGGTGCGCGCCCCCTGGGGCGCGCAGGAGAGCGCGTTCTGGGAGGACGTCATATGACGTCCACTCAGAACTGGCCGGCCGCAGTGAAGCCGTCATTCGGCTATCTGCGGTCGGCTACTAGTTAAATAGTGTCCCAAGGGCCAGATAAAAGCAAGCAAAGGGCCACAGCTTGGAGACTACTGTTCTATTCCATTCATGTGACCTCTAAACTCCAAAGGTGATGGAAACAGGCTGAGATAGAGAGAACTCTACTTTTGCTTCCAGCCCACCACACCAAGGTTAGTCATGACCGCCGATTGCTCAATTCTGGATCTGCTCTGAGAAGAAAGCAGTGACCGTCAGTAACCGATCTCCGCTCTGCCCCCTCCAGCAGCCACTGCGGCAGAACCGGCTGTCTACACATCTCAGCCGCACACTGAGAAAGCGGAGCGAGCTGTCAATCAGACCGCCATGTGGATCCCAACAATATTGTCGAGATGCTTCATGAGCCTGGAGCAGCTCTGCTCTGTCAGCTGATAGTGGGCAGTAGCTCTGCTCCCCCACCCAGCCAACTGACTGGACAATCTTCTAGAGGGCAGCTAGAGGGCGACTATCTGCTGTGCAAGAAAGTCAATGAAGCCATTTTGTTGTGGACAACATAGCAACTCTGCTGCCCTATTAAGGTGAAAGTGAAACTAAACCCTTCTCTCCTTTACAGATAAGGAAGCTGCCATCTTAGCCTCTCTTTGATCTGCAGTGACCATGGTGCTGGACATGTGATTCATTAGGACACCAGACATTTGATGTCTTGACGGTTCAGTTGAGAACAAAAGCAACTGTGATAGTTAGGGCTGATTTTCACATTATACCGCATTGTAAAACGCCTGTCACTACAAGGACACACAGGATACAACTGTCTCCTATGTGACCCATTCACACTGAAACACAGCGTATGGCAACGTACGGCAGCCCGGCACAGCGAATTGTTCTTCCGTACATTGCCATGAATGAAATGTACCTTTTTTACACTTCAAATAAAATGTATACAAGAAAAAAAAAAAACCACGGAGCTGTGTGATGCGTTGAATCGTGTACCACACTGCCCCATACCGCAGCTGAGAACAGAGTAAAGCTCCCTCTCTTTTTCATGACATTCCTTGAATATATAATGTGAATTGGTGAAGCGCTACCCCAACACTACACTACCCCCTCATTGTCTTATCCCAAAAATGGATGAAATAAACCAATAAATGATGT